TGTTGGGAATTTTTTGTGGTGATACAATGTATTTTTTATGATTTCGTTTTATATATATCTATTTTTTTTTTTTTTTTATAAATAAATTTGATAAATTCAGTGATATGGCTTCGTCACTTTTAATAAATAAATTTGGTGATACAATTTCGTCATTTGTTATATTATTATTATATTTTTTTTTATTAAAGAAAAATATGCTTGAACGATCAATTCTTATTGGTTGATCCAAGTGCCCACGTGATCACGTGATCCTAACCTAGCTCGGAGGTTGGTAAATCATGTGATTTGTAAATTTTTATCTATATCCTTTATCATTTCATGTTATTAATTTGAATTATAGATTGTGGTGACTATTCAAGCTCTTTAAAGCATTAAATTTTAAATCTAAGATCTAGTATAATAGCTGCAAGATATAGAATACTTATTTTTTGATAATAATCTAGTAATTTATTAGTTGCAGCTTTATATTCCTGCTTAAACCACATGGGTACATTGTTCTTTTGCTAGTTTCTTGAAGTATTTAAAGTAATAAATAATAAAAAGGACAACTATTAATAATATTAAGTATTGTAATTATAATATGAATTTAGTTACTAAATAAATTAAAGAATATTAATTGTTAATAATATTTATTAAAATTATATATAATATAATATACTATTATATAAAAACAAACTAACCATCTTTAAAAGATAACAAAACTTCAACAAGAAGCTCTATCTTATTCTATTTATCTTTAGTAAGAATAAGTTGATACAAGTCAAATTTTGACAATACTATACTATCTAATATAGCTTGCAACCTTAATGCTCTGTTATATATAAAAAGTAAAATTCTATTTTGTAAAAACATTGAGGATCAGTTTTAATATACTGGATAATTTTAATTTTTTATGCCATATTTAAGATCTTTTAATATTCTTGATTAATTTATATAATTAAAAAAAAATTATAATCTTAAATAATTTTTAATTAAATAATATTAACTTTATTTATTTAATTCATATACTACAACTTTTAGAATACATTGAACTAAAAGATTAAGATATGTTTAAAGCACTGTATTGACTAATGCATATTATCAAATTGAAACTCTGCTTGTAGCATTAATTTAGAAAGTTTATTTAAAAATTTGATATTGGCAAACATATTATTATATGTTATTTCTGCTAATTTTGAAATAATCCCATTTTTTTAGAGATACTCTTCCATAGCATTTGCAATTGCAATACCTATATATGACTCTTTTATTAAAATAAAATCAAGCAGAACATGTTTTATTTGCTATGAAATATTTAAATAATGAACTGTAACAGCTATAAATAATTTTTCATTTGTGATAGTAGTCCAAATATTCATTGTTATAGCAATGTGTTCAGGAATTTCTTCTAAACAATTTGTATTCTTCCTCAAAATTGTTCATAATATACAATTTAATAAGATCTGCAGTAGATGCTATAGAAAATATATTAGTATATATTACTAGTAAATATACTGTAAATATGTTTTATTTAATTTACTTACCTATTGCACATGGCTTTAGATAAGCAATTATTGCTCTAAGCTTATCATTTTCAATGATTTGGAAAGGTCAATTATGCTTTATAATCTATCATTTAATAAGATTAATAAGCCTTTTTTGACTAAAAGGTTCATGATTATAATTTTGCAAATTTGTTAATATATTCAAACTGGAGGTATTTTCTTTAACAGTTAATCTTTGCAATTCAGGAATTTTATCTTTATGTAGAATAAGATGTTTTTGAAGATTTGATATTTGTCCCATCTTTATATATTAGCTTCTATAAACAAATTCTACATTCTACACTTTCTTTTTCCTTCTTAAAGTATTTCTATATGACAGACCTAAAAAAGTAGTATTAGTAATTAAAGAATTTTAAAAGCAATACTATTTGTATATTATCTAGTATTTGTAGTATTTCCATCACTAGATAAAAATACTGTTGGTAATAAAGATTTGCTAGTTTCAACTTCATTTAAATGCAATTTATTTGTGCATAATTCATCTAAATTATCTATATTTGGGGCTTTTCAATAGAAAAAGAGAGATTTTTTCCAAGTAAAAGTTTTTTAAACTTTAAATTAAAATATCTTAACAACTATTAAACTAAATTTAATATTTTTTTTTATTTTAATTCTATAAAATTATAAAACTAAAAAAAAAATTTATTATATTTAATTTAGTAATTATTGTGATATTTTAATTTAAATTTTAAAAAAAAAGTTACTAAAAACTTTTTTACCCTTTTTTATTGAAAAGTGCCTATTTGTTCATGGATAGTTTTCTAAATATGATTCATCTACATATAATCTATCCAAATATGATTTTTTCTGGTATAATTTATTTGGATATGATTTGACTGAATATGATTTATCCAAGAAAGATTCATTTAGATGTAGATAAAATGAACTATACTCATCAAGAAAATATAGCTTATCTTGATAATATAATTTATCTTAAGAATGTAGTTCATCTTGAGAATATAGTTCATCCAGATATAAATAAGATGAACTATACTTATCAAGCACATCTTGAGAATATAGATTATCTTGAGGATACAACTCATCCTGAAAATGTAGTTCATCTACATGAAGATAATATGAACTATACTCATCAAGCACAATTTGAGAGTATAGCTTAGTTTGAGGTTATAATGCATCCTGAGAATGTAATTCATCTTGAGAATATGTTGAAAAAGTTGACATTACAGAAGTTTAAAGGTAGCAAGTTTTAATATAAGTAAGATATTAATTTCGAATTTTTTTACTTTTTTTTTGTTTTCAAATATTTAAATGGTTCTTATCAAATTAAAATTTTTAAATATATTTTGCATTAAAATATGTTGAAAAAAATGACTATTATAATATGCACTTAAAGTTTGGATTATTGGTTATGTTTTATATTCACAATTTCTTTGGTTTGTATATTCACAGTCGCTTCAGTTTGTTAATGTTCTAGCTTTGACACCTGACCTCTCCTTATTAAACACTCCTCCACAATCTGCACACACAAGATACTATGATATTAATGATCAAGAACAGGTTCTTGTATACGAAGTTCCAAGAGAAAGATTTAATTTTATCTATCGAACCCTTATTTATTTATTTATTTTTTGATATGCACGATTACAATAATTATTCTGTTACAATAAGCTTTACATTAACATTGCATCATTACATTAATTCTGTTACAATAAACTTATTGTTACGATTATGTAAATCTAACTTTTATAGTTTATCCCTGCAAGATCTAACACTAGTACTAGACCCTTATCCAGCCAATCATACTCTGACACGAAATAATCTAGTAAATCCGGGTATTATCCGATCGGATCTCTATGAGGATTCAGAACTGTTATGTAAAAAAACCATAGGAACTTGATTCGTCATACAGGTTCGAATTGGATCCGGGTCTCGGATCGGATCTTTCGGAACACTACCGTATACTGTATCTCCGAATATAAGCAACCCCCGAATAAAAACAACCTCCAGATTTTAAACTGAAAATTTGGCAAAGGTTATGTTTGTTAGTAAAATTGTTTCTGAATATAGGCAAACTCTCCATTTTTGACTCGAAAAATATGTAAAATTGCGGTTGCTTATATTTGAAGATATACGGCAAGTATAAAAGCTTTATATTTATATACAATCTAAATTTTTAAAAGGAAAATTATTTTCCTGCATTTAAGTAAATATTGAGTAGTTAGTTAAGTTCCTTTCCTGGTTTTGCGCGATGACGTCACGCAGCTATCTAGTTTATTAATATTCATTTATTACCCAACAACAAATTTTCGATATTATTAACTTAGGGACAATACAAGAGTTTTGCATGGTGTACTTTTAGACATTATACCGCTTGAATTGCTTTTTAATAATTTTTGATTCATCTGCTAGGTGACTTGGATATTTTTTTATATTTTAAAAGAATATACCAAAAATGTAATGAAATGGAATGTATAGTATAATAAAGAATAAACCTTTTGACACAATTTTTTTTAACTTATTGATGCTAAATTGGTATCATTAAAACCATGCCAATAAATTTATCACTCTTTGCATTAGCTTTTAATTGGCAACGTATAATATATAATTGAAAGCACAAATACGCGACTTCCGATCCGATAAATTTAACTCATAGCGAACTTTGGTTATTTTGCTTCAACAAAAAACCTTATTATATATCATTGCTACACCTAAATATTCCACGTTACTGGTTCTAGCGCGACTGCGTAGCGCAGCTACCCCTAATTTTAAATAAAGAATTACAGTCATATGAGATGTTGTGCAGATCAAATTTAATATGAAGTTAAATGATCGACGCACCTAATTTTATGTGTAAAATTTTTTTGCTTTGAATCGAATAATATTTCCTTGCACTAATGCCACACCCCTTGCATACATACTGCACCTCTTGCATTAATGCTGCTGCATTCCTTGCATTAATGCCCATCAATACTGCACCCCTTGTTTAATGCTGCACCCCTTGCATTAATACTGCACCTTTGCATTAATACTGCACCCCTTGCATTAATACTATATCTCTTGCATTATTGTTTCGTAACCCGAATAATTTATCAGCTAATCGGGCTATACATCCAATTATCAAATATCATAAATCCAATCTATACCCGAATAAATGGTCCATGGATTGGAACTCTATCTAAAATAACTTGAAAAAGTCCCGTCATCTTGAAATGCTCATTGAATAACGTACTTACTCGTATATCTTTAGCATTTTGTAATGATTAATCTCGCCCAAATCGTATTCCTTGAGTATAGCCGTCCAAATTTCCGCCCATTGTTTACAATATTGTGAAACGTTCGTACGTACGTACGTACGTACGTACTTACAATATGTGCAACTGCAGGTGATTGACAGATCAGAAAAGGTTAACATATATGGTATAATCTACTATGGTAAAAATTGATATGTACGTACGTACGTACGTACAAATCATCTATAATATATGGTAAAATTATAAGTCTTTAAATGGAAATATGAAATAAATTCTAAAAATCTGAGAAATAAATAAAATGGTTAAAATAAATGGCATGAATAGAATATAGACTACATAGAAAATGTTCAAAGAATTATGCAAGACAATTAAAGAAAATCTGGATTGATACATTGAAACATTACTAAACCAAGATTTAAATTAGTTTTCGAAAAAAGGAAAATGATGAAAGCAAGTAAAATTAATTTAGAAACAAACTCCGAATTGATGAAGATATAATACTATATTCTAAAGATGATGAAACAGTTTAAACCTATTTTTTACCTGATTTAAAACAGGCGATGATTAAAGTCAGAATATTTAAATTTGGATTCAAATATATACAGATCATAATCATCACCTGTTTTAATTACGTAATAAAAAAACATTTTCCATCCTTATTATAGTCAAAATGAACTTCAACCGCTACTGCTATCTAAGTAATCTTGGTGGGTTTTATTAAAATCCGAAGACTGTTCTTATGTCAGTGTAAAATTCTAAATGATAAGGATTAAAAATATTCTCTTCATAAAATTAAGTTCTCCAATAATATAAAGATCAAATTTGACAATTTGTTCTACTGGAATTGACGGAATTGGCGGAATTGAAGTTTGGAGAAACGATGGAAACATCGGAATTGCACCTCCGAAAAGTTTTATTTATAAAATCTTGGAGATCATTCTGAAAATAAAAATACACGCAAAGAAAAATTAATTATATAAAAATTATCTTGAAAATATTCGATTCGATGGCGGAAAGTACAAGTAAGCTATGCAAAAAAAAATAATAATAATAATCAATATAATATTAATAAATGAATGTTTATACATAGTTCATGAATATGCGACCAAATTGGTAGAGCATTTGAAGCAATCAGATGTAAAAGACTTCCCCTATTCGAAATTTAGTGATCTAAAAATTATTGGACATGGAGGCTCCGCAATCGTATATTCAGCAACTTTTCAAGATGAAAACGATAAAAAAAAAACATACGCATTGAAAAGTTTTAATAATAACCTAACCTTAGTTGAAAGTGCCTACAACAGATATTGTCATGAAGTAAGATTGTAGTTTATTATCTGGAAAACCATTTAATATTTAATATTAATAAATTCCATTTGTAATACAATGTATATAGCTTAAATTTTTCAATAAAGCACACCATGATAATGTTATTGAATTCTATGGAGTTTCAAAAGGTATTATAAAAATTTATTCTAAGAATTTAATTTCGGCGTTATAACCTATGTAACGAACTTTAGATCTTAATACGGGTAATTTTATGATGGTGATGCAACTTGTTGATGGAGGTACTCTACGGTATCATTTACAAAAGAAGCATGAAGATAACATATATAAATTTTTTTGGAATGAGCTTATTAAAATTGCAAAAGATATTGCCGCTGGATTAAAATACTTGCATGATAATAATATCATTCATAGAGATTTGGTAAGATTTAATTCCTAAATATCATTAATTGCCTTAAATTAATTATCGCGGCTTGTAGAGGTTAGCGACCTTTATTTGAACATATAAACTCTGACCCCATTTATTCTTTAAACCATACAAATTTCATAAATCGGCTTTCATAATGTAAAATTTTTAAAATTGGCCCGGCTTTTAATTTCATTTTCAAAAAACTTTTATATGTATATAGAAAACATAAGAAAAAATTTTTTTAGATTTTTTAAAAATTCTTTTTTAATTTGACCCGGCTAGGTTATGAAAATCGATTTATTAAGTTTATATGGCCTTATTAAAAACCTTTTCTATAATTCAAACCTAACTCTAAAAAATTCAGCAACAGCCGTGACACTAATTAATTCTTGATCATTATTATTAAATTTCATTAGCATTCTAAGAATGTACTGATGAATAATAACAAAGCCTTGATTGCGGATTTTGGTTTTGCTAAAGATTTGCAAGAAGCATCACATTCAAGTTCGAAGAACCTGTATGTACTAGCGTACACCGATCCGAAGTACCTCATGGAACGAACTGAACGAAATGAAAAGTCCGATATTTATAGTCTGGGTGCATTATTATGGGAACTTACGAGTGGAATCCCTCCATTTACTGACTGCAATTGGATAGAAATAGTGCAAAATATTGCAAAAAATAAAAGAGAAGAAATTATTGCAGAAACACCCTTAGATTACTCTAATCTATATACAAAGTGTTGGTCTTATGAACCAAGCAATCGGCCAACATTGGATGAAATAATTAATAGGCTTGATAATATCACTTCAATTGAATATATTACAAATAAAATAAGTAAAATATTTGATGTTAATCGGTGAGTACAACAAGGCTTATTTAAATTGATTTTAAAACTGTGGTTACGTTATATTTATAAATGTTTTATGAATCTTCTAAAAGAATCATCAAAGAAAACGACATCATGTTTTGTGACTTTAGTAATTTTTCCGATTTTGATGAGCTTTGCGATGTAGGTGAAAAAACTTTAAAAGCAAATTTGAACAGCGAACCAAATGTTCCAGAGGTTGTATTAAAGTCTGTAGATAAACAGCATTTAGTTGAAGGATTCAATGAAGAGGTTTGTAATACTGAATTGAAATCTTATTATAAGTCTATTATTCAAGAAATGCATTTCGGAGTAACATCAGTCACGAGGTTACGTGATCTGTACTACGTGACCGCTTGATTTTTGGTATAAATCTATAACCTTAACAGCATGGCCAGCACTATAGTTAAGGTTAGTGTTAGACCAGCAGAATTAGGAATTTTGTCACTTCACATAATTCGGAAAAAACAAGCGTACCCAGTAAAAAGTGCAGACACGTGACAATAGACCAATAACTGATTACGATTTGGTGTAACGTGGTAAGATCAAGAGAATCCAAAACAAACTACTTATTTTTCAGAAATCGCTTATTTCTCAAAAATTAGCATAAGAAATCACCTTTTGCGCTCTAACAAATTTTCGATCGCACTTTTTTTATTGGGTACAATGGGAAGTTGATCATAAAGTACATATCACGTGATAACGTGACTGGTGTTACATTTCTGGAAAATTTGCCGGAGGTATCACATAATTCGTTTCTTTATACTGTATAACAACAAATTAATATTATTATATATGTATTATGTGCGATTTAGCTTAAACTTTTAATAGATATTGCAAAGCAAAATCATTCCAATATTAATCAATTCATCGGGATAGCCAAAGATCATACTAAGAAATATTTTTTAATCCATCAATATGCGAATAATGGAAACTTACGAAATTATTTGAAAGATCATTTTAATGAACTGACTTGGTATATGAAATTGAAAATGGCGTTTGAAATAGCATCTGGCCTCACACACCTGCACGAAAATAATATTATTCACAAATACATCGTAAGATCAAATTACTTAAAATTTCAAGAAAAAAAAAATAAATAAATTTGAACTAATTTTTTTTTCATTGCAGCATACTAAAAATGTACTAGTACACGATGGTAGAATGGTGATAGATTTTAATAAAGGTCGCTCGTTTCCTGAATATACAGATCCAAATTTTCTTAGTATACGCGAATACAGGTTTAGTAAAAAATCTGATGTCTACAGCTTTGGAGTTGTTCTTTGGGAAATTTCAAGCGGTCATCCGCCCCGTAGACATTCTCATGTTTTTAATAATACGAAAAGAGAAGAGCCTGTCGAAAATACTCCAGAACAATACATCAGTTTGTATAATCAATGCTGGGCTCATAGTCCCAGTAACAGACCAACAATTCAGGATGCTCTTGAAAGTCTTAAAAAAATGCAAGAAAATCTTCAAGAGGTCCAGCTAAACGTTTACAAAAAACCACAATAATCAAACTAAACTATGAACCTTCAATAATTGCAAATTAATAAATAGTACTTTTAATATTATATCACAAAATAATCATAAAGTTATTATAACTTTAACTGAATCATTGTAATCCTTTAAATCAAAAT